AAACAGCAACCCACTACAGTTTCTTGCCTGGAAAATCTCATGGACAGAGGAGCCTGGCAGGCTACAGTCCATGAGGTCGCAGGAGTCAGGTATGACTTAATGACTAAACCACCACCATAAAGGAAAGAGTGAACTCCTCAACAAATCCAGAGCCGAGAATGTAATAATATCAGGGTGTGTGTTAAGTTGTTCAGTCATATCCAACTCTTTGCGACCCCATGGACTGTAGCCCACCAGGCTCCTCTGTCCATGGATTCTCCAAGCAAGAATACTGAAGTGGGTTGCCATTGCCTTCTCCAGTGATATCAGGGTAAGGTACAGGAAAAATAAGAAAAATAATAATAGGGATCCTGAACTCCGAGGTCCTTCTAGACAAGCAATTGCCAGCTGGTGACCCACAGGCCAAATCTGGCCACTGATGGATTTGTTTGCCCCAGTATCACAGTGATTGTCTCATTTGCATTAAATGCCACCTAAAGGAGATCAGTCCTGGGTGTTCACTGGAAGGACTGATGCTGAAGCTGAAACTGTACTTTGGCCACCTCATGCGAAGAGTTGACTCACTGGAAAAGACCCTGATGCTGGGAGGGGTTGGGGGCAGGAGGAAAAGGGGATGACAGAGGATGAGATGGCTGGATGGCATCACCAACTCGATGGACATGAGTTTTGAGTCAACTCCGGGAGTTGGTGATGCACAGGGAGGCCTGGCACGCTGCAATTCATGGAGTCGCAAAGAGTCGGACACGACTGAGCGACTGAACTGAACTGAACTGAAAACTTTCATTAAAATCCAGATTTCAGGCTTTTCTGGAAAGCTGCAAAGGTTGAGTCACTCTGGGCCCATATTCTCATGTGCCCTTTTTGGTAGGAGGGGGGCGGGGAGGGGCATGCCCCCAACCCTTACCTGTCCTCAGTCACTCATTTATTTTACCCGTCTGGCCCCTCCAGGTATTTGAGTTTGTAACCTTGGTTTATCTCAAAAGCTTTGAACCTCCAGGGAGTACTTCAGTCAAGGCAGGAACCCACACCCAATGAGACACTCCCTCCCAGAGCCTCACCTAGGTCATAACTCTCCTGGTTAGTCCTTCAGATTCCTTTTCTCCTGGACACCCCGACCTCATAACTAAACTTTCTTCAAGGTCCTCATGCCGTGTACACTTTCCTCCTGGCAGGGCATCACCTCCTCCAAATCGCCACCTGCGTCCACTGGATTATCTGCACCAAGGATTTTCAAACAACAAAATGCCTGCTTCTTGCAGCTGCTGGGCTGGGCTGTGCTCAGTCGAGTCTGATTCTGCGATCCTGTGGACTGCAGCCAGGCTCCTCTGTCCAGGGAATTAGACTACAAAAGACCTGACATGATGTTTCTTGTTTCCTAACCAGCACCCCAGTTTCCCTTGGGGAGCCAGCGCTCCCCCACTCTCAGTCCCTGAGGTTTAGATGGGAGTTGACTCCACACCCATTTCCAGGGAGAAGCAGGGGACCCAGTCAGAAGCATTGAGTCAATTTTGGGCCTTTGGAGACAGTGACTGGGAGAAAAGGTTTTTCTGTCCTTCTAGGACTGGAACTGAGGACGATGGAAGGGGGGGGGGGGGCAGGGGAGGCGGTTCTCCTGTGGACACACAGCTTATTGGGAGAGTGGAACCCCTGGATCCAGCCCAGCCTGAAGCCAGACTCCTTTTGGATAGTTTTTGGTCACATATAAGCCAATTAATTCCCATCTTCACTTATAGCAGTTTGAAATGGGTCTTCATACTACCAAGGGAGACCTCATTAATACAAAAGAAATCTGAAAGTGCTTGAAGATGGAGACAAAGCCAAAAGGCTTTGCCCAAGCTTTCTTTGTTTTTCGTTACCTCCCTCTGTCCAATAAGAACCAGCATTAGCCAGCCCTCTGAAAGCAAGTATCTCAGGGTAACAATTATTTCTTTGCTTGCCTATCTCTTCCACAAATCTATTGAGCTCCTTCAGGGCAGAAACAGGGAGGCAGAAATAGGCTCCAAGACCTCACATACTCACACACAGTTTGGGCTGAACAACTGTTGAACAGGTGAATCAACAAAAGGCAACGGGGCACAAAAGAACCTTCCTCATTGTCTCCGTTGGGACACCCACCTCAGGAGACCACCTCATTCGAACCACCTTCTGAAACAGACTCATCCACCCATTACAAACAAATTGCATCATGAGAACTCACTCCTTCCAGCCATTACTAACTCTCCCACATGTTGGTCCCATGGAACCTCACTGTGGGGTTACTCACAAGGTCCTCATTCTGCAAAGAGAATACTTCATCCCAAGACACCACCTAGAACTACAGACAGTACACACTGTGGGCAAGCCATTCACATGTACAACTTCACTCATTAGCGAGAGTGTGTGTTTTAGCCTTTGTTTTGACCCCAGTACATCCAGAAGCCTGGTTTTGATATCCACCAACCACCTGCTTCTGCCCAATAACAATTTCAGGCTCTCTCCTGCCTCCTCCATCTTTCCTCCCTGCTGCTGCCTCCCTAGTCCCTGACAATTACTTAAGTGGTGGGGGTGGCGGGGGACAAACATATACAGGAAATCAACAGCAGTAAGTAACAGGTTCCCCAGTAAAAACTCTTTTGACTTTAGGTGCATAATTGCCACACCATTAATACCACTGTAATAGCCGCAGCTTACACTGCATCAGGCAATAAAGATTTTCAGAGTCAAAGGTCAGAGCCAGAATTACAGTGAGTCACATCACTGCACTCAGTCTATCCAGTTCTCGTTTTCCCATACTACTTGAACAATCTGGTGAGAGCTGGATTTACATTCATTTGACAATGTTTATTGAGGATCTGCCAAGTGATAGGAACCACAGAAGATCCTGGGAATCAAAGAAGAAAGAGTAATCATTCTTAAATGAAGAATGCTGGCAAGTAAAGAAGCAATTACATTATGGAAAAACAGGTGCTGTGTGGGATTAGGAAAGAGACAAGAAGGGACATCCAAACTCTGTCCCAGGGAAAGCCTTTTAGAGGCAGAGGCCTTTCCAAGGAGACCTGAGGAATAAGTGGGAAGTGACCTAGGGCAGGTGTGGTAAGAGAGGCTTCTTTCTGATAGTTCCAAGTAGAGGCTAATATGTAAGAAAAGTATAGCCTCCACTGAAAACTGAAAGTAGGCAAGTATGGCTAGAATTTAAAAGTATAAAAAGAGAACCTGCGACAGAGGGAGCAGGGGCCAAAGACACCCTGAACAGTTTCCCTGAATCAGCTTTGCAGCTTTTAAAGCCTGAGAACTTTCTTTTAAGAAAAGAAAAATCACTTGCCTGATACAATGTATAAACAGACCAAAATGACTCTCTGACAAATGCATCTTGACACTCACTAAATATTGATTCCTGATGCATGTTCCTGAAAACACTAAGAGGGGTAGAAAATTCACAGAATTATCTTGTAATTCATTCCCAGATTCTTGACTGAAACATGAGCCATCAACAATACACTGTCCTGGTGACTTAGCCATGAAGAATTCACCTGTGATGAAGAAGACTGCCTGCAATGCAGGAGACACGGGTTTGAATCCTGGGTCAGGAAGATTCCCCCAGAGAAGGAAATAGCAACCCACTCCAGTATTCTGGCTTGGGAAATCCCATGGACAGAGGAACCTGGCAGGCTACCGTCCATGATGGCAAATCCGACATGACTTAGTGACTCAACCACCAACACCACAATGTCTACCTTCCTCTCCACGTTATTTCTATCATTTCCCCGCAAATAACAGAAAACAAGGCACATCTAGGCTTTAGCCTAGACAGGAATTAACTCTGGAAAAAGGATAGACACTCACCAAGCTAACAGGGTGGGGTACCAAAAAGACCTAAACAACAAAACTAAGCAAAAAGTTGAGGGAAACGAAACAGTAAAGAGCACATTTAGAAAACTCAAGAGGAAGTAAAAGTATTTTCATACATACACACGAAAAAAGAAGTGTGCCACGTGCTTTGGCCAAACCAAACTCCCCCTTTGACTCAACTGCTGAAAAAAACCAGCCAACGCAGTGAAAAAAAATTCCCGCATTCATCTCTCTTCCCAGAATAAACAGCAAAACCGGTACCATACAGCTAAGTTGCCCTGGATAGACCGTGAAAAATCTGCCCCAGGTAACACATCACATGACAGTCCTCTTCAGAAGCTCTCAAGACCACAGACCAGTCCGGTGCCCACGGCGGTTCCTCTACTAACTCCCTCTCTCCTGTCATTTCAGAATCAAGGCTTGTCAAGCAGTCAAGGAATCCCAAAGAAGCAGGGAGCAGGATCTGCTTCCAAACCCAAAGTGAGAAAGACTTTTAAAATGATATTTATTTTTAAACTGGCGCTAGGCGTTTCCAGAATCCTTTTCTCCTAATTTTTTTTTTCCCCAAGCTTTTTTAAATGTCAAGCTGTCCGGTTTCATATTCGCCTCTGGTCTAGAGACAGCACCACCTCGTAACTCCCTCAAAGGGCGTTCGGAAACTCACCAGGCAGATCCGCTGGGCTTGTGACCCTTGCTTCTTGCCGCTCGCCTCCCCGCTACCCCCCGCCCCCAAGCACTTGCAAGTGAGGTTTTGCAGCGGGGACGGGGGACACACGGAAAGGCTGAGAATGCCGCCCCCAAGCCCGGCAGCCTCGGACCCACCACTGATCGGAGTTGCAGCCCCAGGCGGCGGCCCGGGGCTGCCCGATCCCGGGGGAGGGAAAGACGAAGGGCAGTTCCAGTCCCAGGAGGGCGATGCTCCGCGGGGCAGTGGGGACCCCGAGGGGTGGGAGCGGTAGGCGCGGTCCGTCCGTCCGGTCTCCGGGGGCCAGGCGGCGGCCCAGAGCCGGCCTCCAGGCCGCGGCGTGGCGCAGACCCCGACCCTGGGCCCCGCCGGCCTCGGGCGGAGCCTCAGCCTGGCCCGTAGCGGCCGGGCGCGCGGAAGAAGCCGGCCCGCCCCCCCTACCCCCTCGACCGCGACCCCCGGCCCGCGCGACCCCCGGCGCACTCGCCTGCCCACGGTCTGGTTGGCCAGCTGCTTCATGCGGTTGAACTGCTTCTTCATGGCGGCGGCGGCGGCGGCGGCCCGCGGGGCTCGGGCCGGGCAGGACGGGGGACGGCCTGGCGGCTCCTACATCGCTTCCCGGCCGAGGCGCGGCGGCGGCGGCACTGCTCCGCAGGCCCGCAGCCCCGCCCTCGCCGCGTCACTTCCAGCGGCGCCGCCCGCCGGCCCGGCCGGGTCGGGGCGGGCGAGGAGCGCCAGGCCCCGGGCGGCGCGCGATCAGGCCTCCGCCGCTCGCCCGGGGGCCTCTTGTTCCCCCCGCCGCCAGGGGGTTCCCTGGGCCCGGCGACGCGCGGCCGCCCGGGGCCCCGCGGTCAACCGCACCTTGGCGTGTTTGTGCTTCCGCTCAGCGATCGCCTGCTCGGGTGATATTCATCTTTAACTCGCTTCCCAGACTAGGTCGCAAACACGCGGTGGGCAAAGCAGACACAAAGAGTGGAGACCCCAAGAGCCGCCAAAAAGTCACCCTCGGGACTAGACCCCCGGGCAGGGCTCTCTGGGGGGCGCGGGAGGCGAAGTGGAACGGGAAAGGAGCTTTGGGCCGATGGAAATGGTTCACGTCTTTATCAGGGCCGAGTTTATGCGCAGGTGTACACGTTTGTCAAAATACACCAACTTGGACTCTTAAGACGGACCCGTGTCCCTATGTACATTTGCCTTGATTTTTTTTTTTTTCTTTAATAGTTACGTGAAACAAGCTGCAGGCCAGTGTGTGCTGTGAGACGCCACTTGGTAAAAACAAGTCAGAGGCAATTAAATATATTTTATTCCCATTTGAATACTATTACGGAGAAGGAAATGGCAACCCACTCCAGTAATCTTGCCTGGAGAATTCCATGAACAGAGGAGCCTGGCAGGCTACAGTCCATGGGGTGGCAAAGAGTCAGGCATGACTGAGCAACTATCACACACTGCGGTACTGCTTCTCTTTTATTGATTTAAATCTACCTTGAATGTCACTCCATATCACAAAGAAGAGAAAAAGAGAAAGTCAGAGACAAGGTGTGCTTTCTATGAACATCCGCTCACCGATGGCGCAGAGCTGCCGTGACGGTAGACGGTCCAGGGGACCAAGGTGTTACCGGCCCTGGGAAAATCACGCGAGTGCCCAAGCCTAGCGCTGGGAAGTCGTGGGGATGAGCAGACGCCCGAGCAGGGACACGTCACAGGAGACAAGTTCTTTGTTAGGTCGCAGGCCACGCCTGGGTCTCGGAAGGTTCCATAAACCGGCCTTCGCAGCCCACGTTGCCTAGAAACTCATTTTTTCCCTTAACCTCGAGCTGGTCAGCAGTGAGGCTGTCCGACTCCGCTGGATCGTTTTCGCAGGACAAATCAGGTCAGTTCTACGACCTGGGACAATGTCCTGGTTTGGTGGCCTTGGCTGCAGTTTAGGCCATTCCCTGGGGCAAGTGGGTGGTACTGTGGCCTCTTTAACAGACTGTGTTTCTAGTTTCACAAAAGATGTGCTGAGGAAGGGAGCTGGAAAGGTAGAAGAACTCCTTGACACTGCAAGAGAGGAGGTTGTGGACTTTGAATCAGTCTTAAAAGCAGAGATTAAGAGGCTTCGAATTCTTTGTAGCGATCTAGAAGAGAAGTATGAAGCGTCAGAGCTTCAGCTGAAGCTGCAAACCGCTAGCTACAGACATCAGTTACACCAGAAAGATGTAGAAATCAAACTTCTGACAGCAAGACAGGCAGCAATGAAGGAGGAGTTGCTAAAGCTGCAATCAGTCACCCACTCAGTAAATCTTCATGATAGCTTTCAGCCCTCAACTCCTGAACCCTCATCACTGGGTTATGATGTCTATCAGCACGGTTCAGCTTTCCAGAATGATGATATGGATTTCGCTGATCTAATTTGGTCACAACAAGAAATAAATAGATTGTCAAATGAAGTTTTAAGACTTGAGGCTGATGTCAGCCATTGGAGACATTTTGCTCAAACTTCCACAGCACAGGGAGCAGATAGTTTTAATCTAAAGGAAATCTATAAACTGCAAAATACTATCAAGGAACTTGAAGAGAATCGAAATAAGGAAATTGATGACCATCAACTTGAAATGGCAGCACTGCAGGAAATTCATCAGCAGAAACTGGCAGAAATAAGTAGCAGGCATCGAAAACAATTAAAGGACTACGAGGAGATGATTCATGATATGCAAAAAACTATTCAAGTTGTAGCTGCTGAAAAAGTAACATCTACCAAGAAAATCAGAGGACTTGAGATTAGAGTAAAATACCTTAAAAAAAAATTATCTTCTGTAGAAAAGGAAATGGATGCTTTAGTTAGAGATCAAGACCAGGTAAATGAAACGAATAAAAAATTTAAAAAAGGTGAGTTGAAGCCTTCTATTAAGCATAGTGATGCTGTGACAGAAAATGAAAAAGTTCTTCCACAGAGAACATCCCTGGAAGAAGCATCCAGACAACAACAGCCACTGTCTGACGCTGAAAATGAAATGATGAGATTAAGTAGTTTGAAGCAGAATAAAAATCTCATTGAAGAGAACCTGAAACTTCAAAAACGAGCCCAAGTTTTGGAAAAAGAAAATTCATTATCAAATAGAGAAAAGGAAGAACTTCAACTATCACTTGTCGGATTGAACAATGAATATGAACCCATTAAAAGCTCAACTATAGGACACATGAACTTGGATTCAGAAGTACATCATTTAAGATATGACTTGGAAATCAAAGAAGGAAAACTCAATGAGAACACTGCTGAAAAGAAATTACTGATCCCTGAGTTAGGAGAGCTGGACAGGCAGAAACAAAAACGACAATGTGTGTGGTTTTGATGAAAGATCAGCAATCCAAAAAAATGAAGGAGACAACATCATCAATAAACTAAAACAAGATCTAAAATGTAAAAAAAAAAAGAGAGAGTTTGTCAACTTGCAGGTGATAAAATGAACATTACTACAGAGTTGGATGGGCAAAAAGAAAAGTTAATTCATTTAAAAATGCAAAAAAGGACAGAAGCAGAATTGTGTCAGGCAGAACAGAGGCTATTGGAAGAAAGCAGGAAGTCTGAGCAAGCTATTAAAGAACCGTCAAGTACAGAGAATGCAGACAGCTCTGCCTCATAGCTGGAGTGTGAGGGTTTGGTTAAACTCAGTCAAGAGAGACTGTTGAGCAGATGATTGCTGACCACAAAGAAACAGAAGAAATTTTGTCATCTAGTTTAGAAGAGCAGAAGCATGTGAAACAAAATAAGGGAGAAAGACATTTTTATTGAAAAACTTCAAGGAGGTTCACAGCTTCAGGAGGAGTTAAATCAGTGTACTCAAGCCTTAAGAAAAATGGAAAATTTACAGTAAACCATAGTGGAAAAAGCCAAAAGTCTTGCATCCATGAGAGAAGAAAATAATCATCTGAAAGAAAAATTGGAATGACTGAGGGAAGAACGCAGTCAACCCGCAACAATGATTAACCCTAAAACTGTTCCAGAAATAAAATCTGAGGACTCTGCATGGAGTACAGTTGAAGATAATCTTGAAATTAAATCTCATCAAAAGGAATAGAAAGATCTCAGATACCAATGTGAGCAAATGAATATTAAGCACAGTTAGCTCTTTTCGGCCCAAGGGGAGGAAATCAGGAATTTGCAAAATGCAACAGAGCAAATCAAAACACAGTTGCCTGAAGAATCCCAGTATGTGCCAATAAAACACTGTGACATTTTTCAAGTTACAGAAGTTCAGAGTCTTCACATAGAAAATGGAAGTGAAAAGCATGACTGATCTAAAGCCAAAACTGAAAGATTATTACAAGAAATAACAAAAATTGGAGATTAAACTTCTAACTGAAAAGAGTACTCTTTTAACTGAACAGATTGATCAGCTGTCCCATGGTGAAAATGGTAAGCTAACTCAGCTCATCTGGCAAAAAGATTTGGAGATACAGTTGCTTTGTATGAAAGTAGCTTCTTCCAGTGGCCAAGGTAATGAAGAGATTCATCAATTGCAAGTGTATGCTTTGGAAAGAGAACAAATGTTAGCTGTTTTAGATGAGAAGACTAGGGAAAATAGTCATCTTACAAGAGAAAATTTCAGAATGATAGATATAATTGTTGCCAAAGAAGCTGACCTTGTGAAACTCGAAGATGCCACCACAGAACTCTCACCAGATTTGAAAAGAGTGGTTTCAGGATATGTTTAGAGAAATGATCCAGAATTCATCCCACGTGGTTCGAGAAAAAGATTTTGAAATTGATGCTTTGACTCAGGAATGGCAGACTTTACTGACAACAGTGCAAATGTCCAGCAATGGTGGTAGGTGAGAGACATTCATATGGATCCATACGAGGAGCTTCTATGGGAACATGATAAATTAAGACAGCAGGTGAAGATGCTAGAGGAATGGAAAGAGCATATGATGGCCACAGTACAGAATATGCAGCGTGGGTCAACCAGTCTTCAGAAAGAACTTCAATAATTTCAGGCACCAGTTTCAGTTGACAAGGTTAATAATTCTAAACTAGGGGTGAACTGTACTGACCTGATCAAAATGACGAAAGGAATAAAATCCAACTCAAAAACTTGGAGCAGCACGTAGCACAAATTAATCTCAGCCTAGAGCAGCTTGGCAGTGCCAAAGGCTTTCTGTTTGGAGTGTCTGACCTAATTTTACCACAGCCTTCTGAAGAATCACTTAGCTCCAAGTCAGCAGCCTCTCTTAAGGCAGTTAAACTGATGAATTGAGTGACTCTTTCAAAATGCTCAAAGAAGAGAGAGGAGAGTTAAGAAAATGGAGGAAAAAGATGCAACCATTAGAACCCTCCAGGAAGATAATCAGAGATTGTCCAATTCCATCGCAGACAGTTCAGAACTAAAGTGACGTGAGCAAGTGGATTCAGAAATGAAGCAGCTACAGGACAAACAAGATGACTTACAAAACTTACTTAAGGAAAAGGAGAACTTTTAATCCAGGCAAAAAGTGATGAATTACTTTGTTTAAGTGAAAATTTCACTAATAAAGTGAGTGAAGACGAACTTTTGAAGCAGACAGTAATCAACCTGAAAGAGATAGCAGTCAGCATTGAATCAGAGATGGGTCAATTGGAAGAGGAAAAGGAAAAAATAGTAGAAACATCTAGGGGAAAGGAAACAAAAAAATCAAGCTTTGCAAGAGACAAATATGCAGCTGTCTGTGATGTGGAGAAAGAATTGAAATATTTTACAGTGGAGGAGAAGGCACTTGCTTTTGAGCATCTGTTAAAAGAAACAGAATGAGGCAAAACGGGAAATCATTTTTTAAATGTAGCGACATCGATGCAAGAGAAGACATGTTTCGACAGGAGAGAAATGAAGCCATGCTGGTACTAAAATAGAAACAAATGGAAAACCATACCCTCCAGACAGAGTTTCAACATTTACACAGCAAAGATCTACGCTTAAAGCAGAAGCAGGAGAGAGAGCATAATGGGCTGTAGAAGCAGAAGCGTCTCATAACTGCGAGGCTTTGGCTGCAAAGGACAGAGCGGCTAAACTGAGAATGAAAGGAAAAGTTGGAGGAAAAGTTCCTTCTGTCTTCCAATGCAATGGAAAGGGCAAATCAACAAGCCAGTTTGCAGATATCATCCCAACGCAGAGAGATGACGCTTTGAGACAGCTTTCTCTGTCGTGAGAACAAGTAAAGGAGGAAGCCATGCACTAGCTAACCTGAAGGTGGTAGCCGCAGAATGGATGGAAAAAGCAGATAACCTCGAAGGAAAATTAACATCGGCAGAAGCATATCAGGAGAAAGTGAATGCTGCCTTGAATCTAAAGGAAGAACAAAGATCTGAAAAAAACAAAATGAGGTCCAACAGGAAGTGCTGGATGAGGTACAGAAGAAGTTGATGAACTTACTAAGTAACGCAGAAGAAGTTGACAAGAGCCTCCTGAGGAACCTCTTCATAGTGTATTTTCAAACACCCAAAACAACAATGTCACGAAGTGTTGCAGATAATGGGTAATACTCTGGGTATCACAAAGGAAGAAATCCATGTGATGGTGAATGAAGAGGAAGGCAGCGGTACCCTATGGACGACTGGCTGGCTTGGATCACAAAGTGTCCCCAACACACCTCTGAGACCAAATCAGCAATCAAGGACGAAAAATTCTTTCTTGGAACTCTGTTAAATTTCTAGAAACAGAATCTCATCTCACTCTTCTGTCACCCAAACCAAAGTCTTTGGGTTCACCAGGAAAGAAAAAACTACCTAAAAATGTACCACCAAGTCTTAAAACTATCTCAGAATCCACACCCCCCAAACCAGATGTGAATCAAGGTTCATATCTATCTCTTTGACTACCCACCCTGACCTGAAAGCGCCGAGTCTGGGCATCTTCTTTTAAATGCTGTTACTGATGTTTTGCCTACATACCCACCTTTGGTACTATCACCCGGCAAGGGGTTGGAGATGTGTCAAAAGACTTTTCAAAGCCACAGATGATTCTTCAGAGACGAGAAACTGAGCCACGTTAAAAAACCAAAGTCACTGTGTTTTTGTACCTTACCAGAGCATGACTTTTCAGAGTCACTTTGCTTAATAAAAATATCATTACTTTTTCTAAAAAGTGTATATTTTAAGGACTTCAAAGGTAGTTACTTTTTATGAGACTTCAAAGAGTAGTTACTTTTTATGAGAAAGGGCATGGGTGGGATTGGAGGCTGTGGTCAAGGGATGCTTCAAATAGTGTTGTAAAGCTTTCCTTTTGCTTTTTTATAAGGAACAGGTACTTCTGTAGATTTTGGGAAATTAAAATATTACCTTGTGTTAACATTCAAAACGGGACTTCCCATGTGGTGCTAGTGGTAAAGAACCTGCCTGCCAATGCAGGAAACTCAAGAGGCACAGTTTCAATCCCTGATTTGGGAAGATACCCTGGAAGATGGCATGGCAACCCACTCCAGTATTCTTGCCTGGGAAATCCGAAGGACAGAGGAACCTAGTGGGCTACAGCCCATGGGGCTATAAAGAGTCAGACACAACTGAGCACACACACACACACACACACACACAATGTTCAGAATGAGAATATACAAGTGCACAGTCTTTGTATAAGAAAAAAGGTGGACAGCCCAAAAGTACAAGATGCATAGAATTTTTAAGGATGAAAGGTTACTTTTCCTGGCTAAGTCCCACTCCTCTTTTCATTGCCTGGTGCTATTGTGCTAAGTCGCTTCAGTCATGTCTGACTCTGAACGACCCCATGGACTGCAGCCCACCAGGAACCTCTGTCCATGGCATTCTCTGTGCAAGAGTACTGGAGTGGGTTGCCTTGCCTCCCTCCAGAGGATCTTCCTGGCCTTTGGATCAAACTTGCATCCCTTATGCCTCCTGCATTAGCAGGTGGGTTCTTTACTGTTAGCGCCACCTGTAAAACCCTTCATTGCCTGGGAAACCACTCTATTAATAAACTGTGTTCTCTCAGGCTTTTTAGAAACATTTGCATATTTGTGTACATTCTCTGACTTGTTTTTTTAAAATAAAACAAACACTACATCTTAGCGATCTTTCCAGGTGTGAATGAATTCCCTCTTACCCTTTTCTTTTTTTTCCTCTTACCCTTTTTTAAAAGCAGCAGTTAGTTTGCTGTGTAGATCTACCCTAATTCTTTTAACTAGCTCCTATTAATCAGCATTTAAGCAGTTTGTATCCCCAAAAGAGTCATGGCCATGACCAACTCTCTTGCCCATTTCCTTAAGAACCGCTCCAAACTGTCATTGTTTTCCTGAAGTATGCCTTATGCCCTCTTGCAGACATCAGAGGCCAGCAGTCAGTAACTCCCAATTTCCCACACCCCCTTCC